GATAATCCCGGTACGCGATTTCCGATCCCGAGCAGCTATAAAGGAGTCATTGGCGACGGACCCGGGAGCTTTCACCAAGCTCTCTCTCTCCGAGTCGCCTTTCTATAGGATTCCTCGGCTCGTTTCGCCCGGCTTCCCTCCTCGATAGGACGATACTACTTCCAGGCACTGTTTCTTCTGATACTGTGATGCCTGGATCATTTTGGCGAGCTGTTTCTTTTCGATGTTTCTTTGTTTTTTGGAAATGGATGACCTTGGTTTATTAGAATTCTTTTTTAATAGGTGATAGGAAACGCTGACGATAATGATATCTTAAGTAGTATTTTTTATAAAGTTGAACTATGGTCTAGATTTCTTAGTTTGAAGAATAAAGTTTCTTGTTAATAAAGCCACTCGAAATGTGAGCATCGGATGTGTAGGGTTAAATTAGAAGTCTTCTAATTAAATTTCACAGTTCAATATATCTGCTAGAAGATCGCAAATTGAGTTTTATCTTTAATATATAACGTACGAAACTTTCTTGGTTAACCCAATACGACAACCTTCATCTTCAACAGAAACATGAAAAACCATCATCAGAAGTATCGACCATGCCAACAAAGTACCATTCAGAAGAATTCTACTTACGACAGCAAAGCTTAAATTCTTTTCCTCGTTTCTACGAAGCAACGAAAGTCGCAGTAATTCAAAAGCACTTCGCGAACTGTGAGTCTATCCAAACTCACGACTCCATCCGAATCTTGCACTGCACAGGGTCCGGAATCCCCGGCCGGAAATCGGGCAACAGTTTTATGGTCGTTAGAATCATTTACGCGTCGGTGAATAGAAACGGCCGTGCCCGATCAATGAAAGATTTCCTGCAGGATTCTCTCGTTCCGCGGGACCATTACCATTTCCGCGGAGCGTTGCGCGCGCGCCGCCTCCCGTTTCATTCCTCCACATTCGAAGCGCGTCTGCCATCTCCGTCCTCCCGGGGATGACGGACTATTACGTTCGATTACGCGATATCCACGGAACGGATTGACGGTGTCAAAGATTTCAACCGGAGAAAATTGAAGGATCCGTTCGGGGGCGTCTGCGGGCCGCCGAACCAACGGAAACGTTCGAGCCCGGCGAAATGAAAATTCTTTGTCTACGGAGTCGCGGCGACACATTTGCATGAACGTTTTCCACAGTTCTACAGGGGAGAGCGAAGGGTTAGGCGGGGACGGAGGAAAAAAGCGTGGCTCGTTCGATGGCTAGGCGGAAGATAATTTCGGGGTGGCAGCGCAAATTGACAGGGCAACGGGTTCCCATTCACCCGAATTACGTTCCAATTCTGTCGGTGACTTTAGCATTGTTGCTACAAATTGGTACACGCCCTGGCCTCCAGCCGTACACCTCCTCCTCCGCCTCCTGACCCCTCCCCGCGCCCCGTGACGACTGGTCCACCCGGTGCACACGTCTCGCAAATGATGCGTATGCAGGCCTTTTTAAAATAACATCGTCGGACAATCACGTACACCGGCCGCCAGAAGGAGCGCGTGACGGATTGGCCGCTGTCGAACGAAACTGTTGCGAAACGTACAACGGCGATCGGCAGGGTCGATCCTGTGGAGGGAATTTTCGGTGATCTATTTTGGAAATGGGTGAATATCGATTGAACGGGTGGAAAATTGATTTTAGTTGGGAACTGGGAGTGCGTTTGGATGGAGCAATTGATTTTTGAAGGAGAGACTGCCGGTGTTTTTTAAAATATTGTGTTTAATATGTTCATCGTTGAGCTGTATTTTACGAGAATCTTGGTCAATATAAGTAACTGATTTATAGGAATCGAAAATGAGATAAAATTTATCGTAGTCTGATCTCTTTTATACAGTATACATATACCCTAAGGGAATTTGTTTTAACGTATATATTGTAGTGGAAATTGATTGCTAACTCTAAATGAGGGGATACATAGATGATAAATACACAAGTGAAATTTGATGTATCTAGATTGAAAGGAAATCATTGGAAATAGGATAATTGTAAATTTCACGAATTATATAGGTATTCAGATTATGTACAGAATGAAATGAATTTTCTGTTTGAGGATTTCTTAAGGCGTTAACATTTAACGGTCTGTTCGCGTTGATTTTCTGAACGAAGAAACATTTGGATGACGAAGATCGGTGTAACAATGACCAATTTCACGGCTGCGATTAGTTTACTTAGCGTTAGTTCACGGCGCGGGAAACTTGGAAATCGAGCTCGTTAAAGTTGAAACTCGTTCGAGGGTGCGAGCGGTTCCCGAGGAAGCGGCACGCGTCGCCGCCCTAGGTGGTCCGATGATCAGAATCGTTAACAAGTAGCCTAACGGGACGGCGAACCGCGAAAAACAGGATAACGAGCCCCAAGGTGATCGTTTAAGCGTAATAGTTAACTGTGAGGAGGCATGGAACCGCGAGCACGTAACCGATCGCACGCCATTGCGTTCCAATTAGGAGACAATGATCATTAAATGCGCAAGTGAGTCGAGACCATGGTCAGAGATGCTGCAACGTACTTTGGAACTTCTGTTCGACTCCTATGAACATAAAGCATAGCTTATTTATGCAATTAAATGCATCCTTGTTTGATCCTACGCGAAAAATCGTAAACATAAGCAATTAAAGCGTATAGGCGTAGGTAAGATGCTCATTCAATAATTACTGAAGGAATTTCAACTTCGAACACAAGAATCGATAGAAAAATGAATAAGTTGTTAAATGGTATAGCCAAGTCTTTGATTCAGAAAGCTCATAAATTCCAAACGCGAAGATTCATAAGAAATATGTGAAATATTCAACAATACTATGCGAAGAAGTACCTAGACGTAAATCATCCAATCGAGATATTAAATCGTTCTAAAACAGTGTGTACTTTTTGCGACAGGTGTGGTTCCAAAACCGGAGGGCAAAATGGCGCAAAACAGAGAAGTGCTGGGGCAGAAGCACCATAATGGCGGAGTACGGACTGTACGGAGCGATGGTGCGACACTCGTTGCCGCTTCCAGAGACCATCCTGAAAAGCGCCAAGGAGAACGAGTCGGTGGCGCCGTGGCTGTTAGGTAAGGGCCATCGATATTATTCCCCAACGCGTCCCCATCACGATTTTTCGCACTAAGGTCTGCTAACTTCAGATAAGTGAACACGCTTGGAAACCTTTTGCTCGTATTACATGAAACACGAGAATACAGGTGAACGTAAAAGATCGGCTCGGTAGCTCGTTTTTTGTTCGAAAGTTCAGCTTTCACTAATGCTATCACTTAACAATCCCGCGTGCAAAAACAAAAAAAAAGAAAAGAAAGAGAGAAACAAACATAAAAGAAAAGAAAATGAAAGAGAGAAAAGGAAGAGGGGCAAATCTCGATTTTGTTTTTTCTGTTCGTCTGTATCAGCTCAATCATCTAAGACGAGCAGCTTTAGTCAAGATATCGAAAATAATCAAGAACTGATTGACTGTGGCCCCGCAGGGATGCACCGGAAGTCAATCGAAGCGGCGGAGCATCTCAAATCCGGCGGCGAGGACAGTGGAAACGACCACAACGGAAGCGGAAGCAGCCCCCATCACAGCCATCACCAAGGCGGACCGACCAGCTCCGAGAGCGGACAAGAAAGCCAGGATGGCATGGGACCTTCTTCGTCGTCAGGTAACATTCTCCTCGTTCATTATATTTCCTGACGTTGCGTTGGAACATCTTGAGTTACGAATATAAGAATTTTTCACATAAAATATAAAATAGTTCTTATTAACCGTAATAGCACTGTGGTAATTTGTGTCCAGAGATAAATAATCATTATTATTGAACTAACAAATATCATAGATTTCTACTTCTCCAGTGTTTAACAATTCAATATTTTCAAATTAAGATTTAACATTGAAAAATTCGACAATTTAGCTTTCTATAAAAACGAATTTATAATATTTGAAAATATTCTCTTACGTAAAGGTTGAACACTAGAAAAATTGCAAAAAAGAGTAAGTCCAACAAAAAATCTAAAATTTCCAGGGATCGTTCAGGACACGGAGCAACTGAGGAACGAAAGCATCGCCTGTCTGAGGGCGAAGGCGCAACAGCACCAGCTACAGTTGAGCCTGCAGCCAACGGCGGCGCCTAGCAGCACCCCGTATCCAGCGGGTCCGCAGTCGAGCACGCTGCACGCCTCCGTTTAATCACCGTTTCCGACACGTTTCCCGTGAAGTATCCAATCCAGGAACCGTTCGCGATACCCGAGACAGTCTATTTCCGGCTGATCATTCGTAGTAAACCGCCAGTGATCAGTTCCAACCAGAACAGAGTCGCTTCTCTACGTCTCTAATTACTCGATCCCACTAAAAAATCAACAACTACGATACCAATTCTTGGACGTACACTTCTAATAAACTGAAAAGAACAGTATTTCGATCTATCCTTAGATTAGATCGAAAAAAGGAGAATGATTTCAACTCGCGAAAGGGTATCGCGCGTCAGAATTGTCGGACGAAACCGAAGATCAGGGTAAACAGTCTATCGGAGCTGCCTACCGGAAGAAACCAAACGGCACACAAAATGCACAACGAATACGTCGCCACGATCGGGCTGGCGTCATCGAAGCGATCGCTGATATCGCGCTGGGCCTACGCGGTTCCCGCGTTTCCTGTTCGTCCCTGGCTTCCGGGACAAGGTCAAATGGAAACGGAACGGGAATCACACTTCGAGACGGTCCTCATCAACGAAAAACGGTGGCCTATGGACGGCCGGTACGATGACGAGTCGTCGATCGCGGAGATCTACATGCTTTCACTCCCTCGAATCGAATAACCTCGACTCCTTTGCCATTTTATGGCCTCGCGATTGATAGGGGCTATTCAATGGACTGAAGGAGATCACCAGAAAAGCGAGTGGAACGCGATTAACTAAAATTAGAAGTTGTAGCCGCTTTCGAATAGTCCGCGTATCCGTGTAACGTGTGCGTTCGTTTGATGGTGTGTCACATGTTACACACGTACCGCACAATTATAAATAATATACATACGGTGGCGAGCGCACGTTTCCGGAGCAATGGCGGAGCGACGCGCGGCCCGCCGACGAACGAAGAATATTACGCCTTTAGACCACCGAACGATTTGCAACGAAACGATTTAATTAACGAAATCGCCGTCAAGGCGAAGACGAGAAACGAATTAAGATGCGACACATCGAACCTCGACCTTGGAGATGCCGCCTCGGCGGACCTGCGAAACGACAGTTCCCCGTGATCCCAGGATAATGGAGATTCACGGGGAGATCCTGGATTTATTTGATCGATAACGGGCGAATGATTTGATCGAGCTTGTTTGCGTGTATGCGTGCGTGTGTTCGTTTGAAAGGGAGAATGCATATTGCGGTCGAGCGAGACAGGGTGCAAATGAGAAATGTTTATTAGCGGAAGACTTCCTATACCCCCACAAGTACTTAAATGAAGAACGTAACTGTTGTCAAATGTGCAATATGTCGGTATTAAGTTCTAGCTCGTTAAGGCATTATACTTTATTTACGGATACAGCTACGTGAGGCAGCGGTCGGGGTAATGGCGTCTCGACGGCCGAACGGAGAGCTCGATGTTAATTAGAGGTGATCGCAGAACGCTGCGACGGTGGCGGGAGAATTGTGCATCCAGCGACGACGATAAAATTTCGGATTGACGCTTTAGGAAAGCGAGTATCCTTCTATGGAAACAATTATCTCTATTGGATTCGTCTGGGCGCTCGTTTAAACGATTCGAGGCAGCATTTTCGGATCATAGCTGCCTGAACGGAGAGACTTAATTAAGAAGAATTAGAAAATTGCAGTATTTTGATCTCGTTTTCGATCGTACCTTCGACTTTATCTCGATCCTACGATCATAAGAATGGCGTCTGAGAATGGAGAGGGAATCTATTGTAATTTTTATTGTTCCATTTCGAGTTGAGCTGTCCAACCGCGATGGCGCCGTTATCTTATCCTACGCCCACTGTATATAAATATATAAATAAAAAGTATATATATATACATATATATATAAAAATATATATATATAAGAATATAAATGCGAATATATGTGGTTACGAGGCACGCTAAGTCGTACGAAATCTCTTTCGCCGTTCACGTTCGGGGTTATGCACCGCGAGTTCAACGAGAGTCTTTTTGGCTTCCGATTGTGTCACTATTGCACGTTATTTTTGATGAAACCGTAACGAATGAAACGGACCGACGAGCAGAGAGGGTTTCGTTCGCCTTGGCCAACACTGATGACTATAAACACGTAACGATAAACGCACTATAATTTAAACGAATCAATTACGGGACGATCGGTAACCACACGCTTCCGCGCGGTGGCGAGGGCGGAAACGGATGCGAGGTAAAATCGAACACCAAGAATGTTGTTTTGTGAACCATACACACGTACAGACATACGAATACACGCACACAGACACACACAGACACAAGTAACAACACGCTTCGGATCTCAAGCGAACTCCCTGTATCCGAGTGCCCCAAACGCATGCATAGTAGTCGGCTAGTGTATGTAATAAATAAAGTTTCTGAACAAAACGACAATGTGTTGGTGTTGTAATTTTAACCCTTTGAATCGTCCTGTTCCCTCCGTTAACCTAAATTTTATTGGCCACAGAGTGAAAATTCGCTTTGTAGGTAGGTTTAAAAGCATAGAGATTGTTTACGAGAATAGGGACGTGATCTTTTTATTCAGAATTTTGGTAGGCTGTTCATATGAACTTGAGTTAAGGTTTTGCTTAACGTTTCTGTTGAATTTTTGTGGACTACATGGAAGTTTTATTGCGTGTTACATTTTATTCTATATATAATTAGCAATGCGTAGCTTAGATGTTAACATTTGAAATAAAGTTTGTGGGACTTTAATGCCATTGAAACTACTTGCTTATTCTCGTGCTTGAAATGAATTAATGCTGATAGTATGCTCATATACGTACATATAAGTTGAAGAGTAAATTCTATGGAATTTACAACGAAGTCGGCATTTTCTTTTATTCTCCAAAACAAAAGATTTATTAATAGCGTGTCATGAGATAATAGCGTGTCCCAAGAATTACTTACACAAGGAATACATTAAATATTAAAAAAATCTTGTATTACTGTGGTATAAAACAGATACCACCAAATTTATCATTACACACACGTGCACTAGAAAATAATTCATAATGTAATTCTTGAAGTTAACTCTATAAAATTCAAATCAGTTATAGTCGTCGTAACTGTGGTTTAATTACAGACTTTTTTTTATCGCAATCATGATTATATGTTACTTTCATTTGAAAAGACAAAGGAATCGCAACTACAGGATATAGCCAGCAGGCCTTTGTTTCATTAAAAGCCAACAATTACGTGTAATGACGCTCTTGGACTTTTCAGATGTCGCGTCGAACAGTGCTTAATAATTCTCATTTAAAAAATGAATTATGGGCTTCGATGTATCGTGAAATTTTTTTAGGTTGCTTTCAAACGATAATGGCGCCCGGCATAGAAGACCTCCTGACGCGAAAAAATAATTAAAAGTTTATTAATTATAGCGCGGATTGAATTTTTTAGGCGCACCAATATAAAAATAATTTCTCGCGGCCTAAATTTTATAATGAACGTTGTTAATACCTCTGAAATTTTTTCACGTTACATTCCATTTTTCCTGCTTTGGGCCTGTGAGTTTCTCATTTAAATAATGGGGTATACTTACGATAACAATACATTTTCCTTATATTTTTCCTATTCAATTAATAAGTCATTTTATTAACATTGTGACTAGCCAACATTTATTTGTTCATCAACGCATGACCAATACCATTTTATGTAAAAATAAAATAATAACTCTGCATTCGATATTATGGCGACATCTGTGGTGCCGTAGGTGTTATGTGAAGAAAATTGACTTTTATCAACGAGAAACAGCGTAGACTGGACATCCAATGTAAATCTGCACATAGTCACGAGGATACCCGACCTCCTTATCAATCTTACAATATTTACAATCTTACCAATAGAGTATAAATAAATGAAAATAAATAAATAAATGAGAAACATGTTCTTTCTTATTTTATTTTGTCAATATTAAGTTTTTCAGACCATCGGATACTAAGTTCCATAAGGTATCTAATCTATTCTAATTTCTCATCGGTGAGAGGATACCCACCAAACATATTTAAGAAAAATTTCTATACAAAAATAAATTAGTGTCTTACAACATCCGTTGAAAAAGGAACATTTATAGTTTTATACTAGGCAATACTATTAGGTAAATGATACAGGTAAAGGTAGATAATAAATGATAATACTAGGTAAATGAAAATACTATTCTATTGAAATTTCAAAGGAGGTTAAATACATGACAATAGAATATAAATTCCAATGCTTAGAGCGTACAAAATAAAATATTTTCACATTGATCTACACCCCTCGTTGGTTAGTTCCAGGAAGTGGATAATTGGTTTGCAGCCGCGAATTTTATTACAAACGTGCACTCATGATTAAGTAAACGGTCTATTTCGCAACTATAAGACGCCGTAAAACCCAGTACATTCTTTCAATAGTTAAGACGTTAAGCGCCATAAGAACCTTGAACATATTATACATGATTTGTTCCTTCGTAGCAAAGGTAAATAGGAACAGTTATTAATTACTTGACATCAGAATTTTTACATTACACTATTTTTAACTTATTTGCATTACTAAATATTTTAACGTGTTAAATATCCAAAAGTAATAATAGTAGAGACCGTTAAAGAGTAGGGCCGAAATGTGTCGAATATCGCAGATCAGGAACAAGGAATAACAACGAAAAATTAACATTCCGAAACATTATCAGTTCATCATGAGTCACCGTTCACGAAGGAGGTTCTTCGCTCTCATCCCCTAAACAATCAATGACGTCCTCGCGCATCTGTGAACATTCCTGGGCTTTACTGGACTTTCTTGGACAGTATTAGGCTTCATTGATGCTGAACGATGCTGAACGATGCTGACCAGTGGCCATCCAGGATAAAACATACTTCTCAATTTTCCCGAAGTTATGAGCGGATGGCGATAACGATCGAAGAGTCGCATGCTTCTCTTTTCTCCGGTCACCGGTCATGTCGTAGGGTGAAAGGTCCGTAACGACACCGGTGACTGGTGGTACCATTTTAGTAGTTTTTGATTTTGTGAGTACAGTGATCTCGGATATGTTTTGCGCTTCCGAAAGTAGTAACATTTCTTGTTTATATATTTTTTAGACAGAATAGGATTTTTTTGTGCGTCTCCTTTAACGTTGTAGCTGCTAACAAAACGCAAGAAGAGAAACTTTCGGCGCATCACAGTTCAGCGAGATTTATGGTATGCGCAATCTAAGACGCTGTTTTTTAGAGAGTGTCCCTAACGTTTTTAGACATTTGGCGGACAGATAGGTTTACATAGTGTTCCTACGACAGTCTCAATAGTGCAAGCGAACACCGTAAATTTTGGGTCATCGAAAGGACTGCAGTTCGATCATCACCAGTAATTTAGGAAAAACGTTTTTAACGACTACCCCTGCTCCAAAGAAACTTGCCGATGGCGCAAAGAATAGGCGGGTAGTTGTAAAATTACCTGATTGGTGGAAGCCTCTTTTCGGGACTTCCACCAATCGGTGAAAAGCCAATCGATCTCCTCCTTAGAAGGGGTAAGTTTCCTTATAAGGTGAAGAACATGGCAGTCACAGACAGTTCAGAAGTACTGACAGAGTTCGGATAGAAACCTGTTTCTATTAAAGTGTTGTTTGAGGGTTTCCATTTAAACTAAAAGGCAAGGGGTTAAATTTGAAATATAAATGGATCCCTCGCAGCAACCTCCACGTGGTAGACCTGCAAACTAGCAGCATCGCCGATAGAGTAGTTCCTATCGAGGACCGCGCTAGGCTAATCAGCTGCAAAATTGTATGATGCATATTACAGTATGCAAAGTAGTTACTCTTTAGCTTCATTTATCTCCTTTTTAATGAAAAAATTCTTCTCTGATTCCTCTCATTTTACAATCAAGGACTTCTTTCTTGATTCACTCCTTTTTCTCTCTTAGTTCCATAATACTGCGGCATACGCAGTGTCTCTATATATTTTAAGATCGAATTAAGTCTCTTTGAAGTTAGCCTTAAGTTGAAGAAAAAAAAACATGGATCATCCGGAATGGAGAATTATTTTTTACATTTCAGTATAACAAATAATCTTTCAAGACAACGAATAATTAGTACCGTCCTGTTCATATCATATAATGTATCTAGCGACAAGAATTATCCGCTTTCGAAAAATCTACGTTTTTTACTGTTGGCGCCATCCGCGGCAAACCGCTCAAATTGGTAGATAAAAGTTACCGATGTGGGAGTACACGCGGATTTACTATGGCTCCATCCATGGCAAAATGATCGAACTATTAAACGGCAAAATTTATCGTCCCAAACAAAAAGTTCCCACTACGAATACTATAGTATTCTAGTCCTCTGTTTCATTTTCATTTTCTTTTGCCTGCCTAGCCTTAAGAACGTCATGTTTTAGATTTATAATTATATATCCAATGGTTCCATGTATAATTCCTAGCATAAGGCTAACGAGTGTCCTTCTGCATATAGGTCCAAAAAGGTCTAATGCGTGTATCTTAATTAATGAAAGAAATCAAGGTTCCGATAAGATGATCGACTGTAAACGGTTAAACGAGGCACCGTTTTAAATGATGAAGTTAGGAATATCGTGACTAAGGTCGGCGATCTTTGTCTGTTAAATGGACAGTCTCGACAGCAGAAAGTTCAGTTTGTCGCGAACTCTTGAACTGTGAGGATCGGGGTTCTGCATTGTATACTAGAAGCCATTCCTGAAGTCGCCTGGATTTTCCAGATCCTTCCTGAACCCCTATGGCGATCAATAGCCTCTTCCTACATCCACTCTTGAACACTGGTGACAACTACTAACCACTAGTGACCACTACTGTCCACTACAGACCGGTTGAGATCAATGCAGATCCATGCTGACCAGTGCTGATCAATGGACTTCTTCCTTGATTCGCTCCCTTTACCGTTACGATGAATGTATAATTAAGGTATCCGTTAAAGCTAAACTAAGAATTAAACGTGCGAAAGAATCATCCACCGAGGGATACTTCATCATTTTAAGCTCAACAAAGAAGACAGCCGCCATGGGATACATCGTTTCATTTACTAATTATGCTATATTAATCTCATATTACTAATTACACTGTGGAATAAAATTTGACCTATGTTAGTTTTTGCAATAGCCACTATGTAATTCTTATAGAGTTCCTTACCCTAAATACGAATCCGAAAACCAAATTGCTGGGTCAGGTCCAGTTTTCGAAAAAAAACTGGGATTTTGTAAAAACGGTCGAATTTTTCAGAAAACCAAGTGTTACGTGAAAACTAAAAGCGATAGGCAGTTCAAATTTGTCGCAAAAAATAAAGGAGACTTTCCCGAAAACGTAGCTATAAAAATTTTGAATTTTGCGTATCATTAAATGTTTGTAAACGGCGATCAAAGTTTTAAAAAAGGTAGATGCGAATACTTTGTATGCACTTCTGTTACATTTCTACGAAAAGTGGGTTGACCAGCACGAATTTGCTGTGCACCATTGGATTTTGCAGACATTTCTGAAGAGGAACCCCGCCGTGGGAAGCGTGATATCGGTTTTTCTTTGGGACAGGGTAAGAAAATGTCCGCGAACGAAACTTTCGCGCCACACGGCCATCGCTCGCCGGCCACAGTTATGCAGGGCCATGACTATGCGCTGTATAGACCTGGACCCCGGTCACTTTTTATATGTATATATATATTTCAAAAAAGTCAATTGCAAAGTAGATGAAAATTTAGAAGCTAGTGTGACTAAGTTGGTTACAGGTCGCTTTAAAGATAGTAAAAAGAGTATTGAAAAAATAATCGAAAAGGCCAAAAGGCTTTACTCTGGTCTCAAGAAAGAAGGTCTTGTACAAAATAGTGATAAAGAAGCAGCACAGCATGGGTTTATCAGGTATGTTGATGAACTTTCGTTATCACTATAAATTTTAGGTTATACTTGGAGTTACTAACAGAAAGAGGATATAATGATATCATATTACTTGTAAGAGGAGAAGGTCGATCTTGGTCAGCTATTCCAATAATAATGGAATTAAAAGCAAATGGTAATATAGAAAATGCATTATCAGAAGCCTTGAGTTATGCTAGAGGATTGCGTCGTAACAAAATGCGCTTATTAACAAATGCTGATAAAGCTATTTGCCTGGGTATTAACCTTAATGAACAAAAAGATTCATATATAATTTCTGATGAACCATGTCGGATAGAAAGAAGTAAAGAACCTGTTATGCAGTCTTTACTTGATATAGTTTATAAGAATGAAACGAATGGAAACAAAGAAAGTACGGTAAAAGAGCTATTAGGGCAGTTATACTATACGTTTCCTTCAGAGCAATATACGTTTCCTTAAGAGATTACTTAAGTCGTTTTTTACTTGGGCAATTGCCTTTGTTAAAAAAGCCTGAGGCAGCAAGAGGTATGAAGGTGTATTTATTCACCCACTCGGGAGGAGATACATCAGAAAAAAATATAAAGAACTGCCTTACCACATACATATTTGTCATTGAAAGGCATAATCAAAAAAGTAAGGTATTTGTTTTTCATATATATATGAGGGTGGTGCTGAACAGCCTGGATATACTAGGTATTCTTTTGCTAAAGAAACGTTGGATGTGATAAACTTAAATAAAGAACAAATCTGTGGGCTATAAAAAAACAGGACCTAGTCAATCAGCGCCTTCACCTGGTTCTCTTTATAAGAAGGAAGACGTACATTTGTAAGAACAAGCCACGTAAAATAGAGTTATGAAAATAAAGGTGTGAATTTTCTGTAATAAAGTTAGGCAAGTAGCTTCGTATGTAAATTTAGCTGAAGTAGGCTAATATGGCTAAATTTACGACATAGTAGGATTGTTATAAAGAAAAGTTCACACGTATCATTTGGTAGACCAATACATCACAAAACAAACTCTTCTCACGGCCCTTGGTTTTGAGTGCTGGAAATGGTTGTGTTGTTTAAGTTTTTAGCAATATATATTCCTAGATTAATAATAGATTTATCTAAGAATGAAGAAGAACTAAGGCAAATTTATGGCAAAATATGATAAAATAAACATTATCTTGCTTGTCAACACTAGTTTCAACTTTAAAAAACATAAGCCGAGTGACTCGATTAAAGTTTACATTTCAAAAAACGTAAAACAAATTTATAGCTTATTAATGTGATGCTAATAGGGTTGTTAAATTAGACTGCAAATTTGTAGCTATTATTACGATTTCTTGCATATTATACCTAGTGCTCTGGACTCATACATTGAGTCATAAAATTCAACTTGCTTGTTTTTGAATACCACATAATAATAAGACAGTGATAATAAAAACAAGGGGTGTTTTTTATGTTAGGCAAAGAGCCTTCGAAACCATTACAAGATGCTAGAACTGTTCCATCTGAACAAAGTAGTCGTTCAAGAAGTTCAGCCAAGGAAAGTACTGAAGCTGCTCCCAGTTCTAGCAAACAGATGCGTTCCGCTATAGATAAAGGTAATATAGCTTCAAAAAGGCCACGCATTGATGTAAGTATTATTAATAATGAGGAAACTAAATTTGCTAAAAGTGTGATTGGTAGAGATGGAACACCTGAATTTGATCAGTTCTTAGATTTTTTAATTAGAGAAAAAAGACTAGAAATTCTGAAAAGAAATGGAATAAACCCAGCTAATATGTCCAGTATTTTACATAGAGCACGAGCTAATGCTGCTAAAGCTTTTAAAGAATTATATGATCTTTGGTTTGATGCAGAAGGAAATAAAACTCAATACTTAAAAACTCTAGAAGCAAACCGAATAAATCTATCTAGTATCTCCAGTATTTTAAGTAAGGCAGGAGCTAATGCTGTAAAAGCTTTTAAAGAATTATATGATCTTTGGTTTGATCAGAACGGAAAAAAAACACGATATTTAAAAACTCTAGAAGAAAATGGAATGAGTTTAGCTAATATGTCTAGTATTTTGCATGGAGCAGGAGCTAATGCTCCTAGAGCTTTTAAAGAATTATACGATCTTTGGTTTGATCAGAACGGAAAAAAAACACGATACTTAATAAAACTAGAAAAAAGTGGAGTAGATCTAGTTCGTATGTCTAGTATCTTAAGTGGAGTAGGAGCTAATGCTGCAAAAGCTTTTAAAGAATTATATGACCTTTGGTTTGATACAGAAGGAAATAAAACTCAATATTTAAAAACTCTAGAAAAAGAAGGAGTAAATCTATCTAATGTATCAAGTATTTTAGGTAAAGCAGGAGCTAATGCTCCTAGAGCTTTTAAAGAATTATACGATCTTTGGTTTGATCAGAACGGAAAAAAAACACGATACTTAATAAAACTAGAAGAAAGTGGAGTAAATCTAGTTCGTATGTCTAGTATCTTAAGTGGAGTAGGAGCTAATGCTACAAAAGCTTTTAAAGAATTATATGACCTTTGGTTTGATGCAAAAGGAAATAAAACTCAATATTTAAAAACTTTAGAAGAAAAGGGAATAAGTTTAGGTAATATGTCCAGTATTTTACATAGAGCACGAGCTAATGCTGCAAAAGCTTTTAAAGAATTATATGATCTTTGGTTTGATCAGAACGGAAAAAAGACACGATATTTAAAAACTCTAGGAAAAGAAGGAATAAATCTATCTAATATATCGAGTATTTTAGGTGGAGCGGGAGCTAATGCTGCAAAAGCTTTTAAAGAATTATATGATATTTGGCTTGATGCAGAAGGAAATAAAACTCAATATTTAGAGCGCTTTGTTAAGAAAAAAGATGGGGAAGAAAGTTTTACGCTACATAACTTATCTGGTATGTTAAGTAGAGCAGGAGTTAATGCTAAGGATGCTTTTAAAAAATTGCATGATCTGTGTTTTAATGGAAAAGGGGAAAGAACAGAACTTTTAGATGATTTCTATAAGGAAGGTTTTAAGCCAAGCAACTTATCCTGTATGTTATGTGGATCAGGGGTTCATACTTCTTCTAATTTAAAAAAGTTGCATAGTGTTTGTTTTAATGAGAAAAGGGAAAAAACAAAGCTTTTAGATGATTTCTATAAGGAAGGTTTTAGGCCATGTGATTTATGTAGTATGCTGAGTGGATCAGCTAATAGTTTAAAAAAAATTCATAATTTTTGTTTTATAGGAGAGACAAAAAAGTATTTATATCATTTTTTAAATAAAGAAGGGGGTTTTACAGCAAGTAATTTATCTGGGATATTACACGGAGCAAAAGCTAATATTTGTTCTGCTTTAAAAAATTTTCATGATGTTTGTTTTGATGAGACGGGAAACGCAACACAGCTTTTAGATGATTTTTATAAGGAAGGTTTTAGGCCGGATTATCTATCAAATGTACTATCCATGGCAGGAAATAATGCCTCTTCTATTTTAAGAAATTTTCACACATCATGTTTTGAAGAAAATTATTTAAATCACTTCTTCGCAGAGGAAAAACTTTTTACGCCGAAAAATTTATCAAGTAAAATATTATATGGAGTAGGGATTAATATTTGTCACATTTTTAAAAAGTTACATGATCTTTGTTTTGATAAGGCAGGAAACAAAACAGAATATTTAAACAATCTTATCACAGATAATCGGCGTGAGGTATTTAGTATACTATATGAAGAAGTTAGAGGAGTTCCTTTTACTCCCTTGGATGATATATCGCTTCAACAACAGAATATTAGTGGAATAGGGAAAAGCAAATAAGAAAATATCAATGATCTTGCTCGGTAGACCAACCCATCACAAAAACTCTTCTCATGGCCCTTGGTTTTGAGCACTGGAAATGGTTGGATTATTTGAGATATTAATAATATATTTTGCTAAATTAATACTAGTTTGTTTATGGAAGAATATTAAGGCAAGCTTATGACAAAAACAAAATCAAAAAATAAACAAAAGGTTGCGTATTGAGCTTGTCAAAAGGCTTTTGCCGAAAACAACTTTAGGTTAGAAAATTTTCAATTAGTAGTTGACAAGTTTTAAATAAGGAATACTCTACTTAAGGGGGGAAATACCTTTAAAACCTTAAAAAATCGCAATATTTTTTTTTCTATGGGATGTTAGTATAACATCTTAAGAGTATGGTGCCAAAGTTTTAAAGCGAAATTCGGAGCCCTTCTGATGCTATACCCCATAATCGGGACTCATAGGCGGTAGCCCACTGCAGGTATATCATCACGCGCTCGAAGCGGAGGACCCGCTTTTCATAATTCCCTCCTTTCAATCATTGTAAACATGTTACTTTACATTGTCTGCGTTACATAAGAAAAATTATCATACAGCCGGCTTCGAAATATTAAAAAAACAAAAAACCTAGGTGGAAAAGGCAAGCTGACTGATGCGCTTATCAGGAAACTCACCGCATACTATGGCTTAGCCATACGAAGAAATATTCATAGTGTGGAAAATATGAAGAAAGCTATAATGGCCTCGTATTATCACTTATGCTCCACCAAAGAAAATCCAAGGCACGAATACTGCCCGGTTGGAAATGACAGCTGGTGCAAGTGGTAGAAAGCTCTAGCTACAGGAGCAAATTTGGACCTTATAGAACATCCTGCACCACTGCATCCAGACATGCAGAAGCACATCCTACCAATCTACGAAGATTTATCTGAAGAGAATCTACTTGAGAGGTGCTTGGGCGGACACACTCAGAACAATAACGAGAACTGTTTGGTGCTTCGCTCCAAAGCACCTGCACTCAGGAATAAAAATTATTGAAATACCAGCATATTTGGCAGCTGGCTTATTTAACGAAGGATATGCTTCAGTTTTAAGAACTATGAGTACTTTGAATATTGTAATTGGAAAATAAGCAAAAACATACGCCGACAAAATCGACGAACAGAGAGTAATTCGACAGGAGCGACGCACCTCATTAACTACCAAAGAGGCTCGAAAAGCAAGAAGAGAGCAACGTATGGAGGAAAATCAGCTCTATAAGGAAACAGAAGGAATATTGTATGGCGCAGGAATCGCAGACTAGCTGGTAAGTCATTGAAATTATTGAGTTATCACTTATCGAAACTTTGAATGTGTTTATCTCAAAACTACATTTTCGAAATCGGTGGAATCAATAACTCAAAAACTACTCAATCAATCATGCTGAAATTTTGCACACATATCTATAACAATATTGTCTTATATATGAACCTAGAGATATGAAATAAATTGTAAATAAAAGTATCTTTTTATTGCAAAATATAGCGAAAATTTCATGTAAAATTCAAAATTTCTGTTTAAAAGCGTGCCATTTTTTCAATTTTCAATATTTTTCACTTTCTGTAGGTTCATCTACAACCTGTAAATGTTAGTTATCGAAATATGTCTTGCTGGTTTGTTTCAAATCAATGTAGTCAAAGCTAGAGCTTACACCATTTAATAAGTCGCACCACAACCTTTCCGAAAAACAGGGACATAACTCCGCCATTTTTAAATATTTTGAAAAACAAAAAATACGTTGTAATAGAGAAAGAATATAATAAATGATAACCAAAGTTTCAAAAATGTAAAACAATCCTTTCCTTTACAAAAAAATTCATAAAGATAAGCTCGTTTTCAACCGTCTAAAGGTATTTCCCCCCTTCAGTACAGATTGAAGAAAGAAGACAGCCGCCGTGGGATTATTATTAAGTGTGATAGCTATAGCGATAAATGCGTTTAAAGTAAGGTTTAGAATTAGAAACGGAGGTCGATGGAATCGGGGGTCCATTTACCTCCCAGGGTCTCGTCGCAGCAACCTCCACGTGGTGAGACCTGGGCAACTAACATTATCGTGAGTTGAGTATTTCGTATAAAGGATAATGCTAGGCTAATTGGCTGCGATAATTTTGTATAAATGTGAAATGTATTGTTCGATAGACGATGAGATCTTCGCCTATTATATTATTCATTTTAAGTATTCGCATTGTATTGTAGTTTGTAATTGTTAATTATGTTCAAAATTTCTATAAATGTCTATTAGGTATTGCGAGTATATAGAAAAATGTAATATTGAGACCAAAAAATAAGGAAGACCAAGTTTTTTATTTATTTATTTGTTTTTATTTGCATCTACTTATGAATGTTAAGTTTGTGCTAAATTTTTCAGGCTTTTGGTATCATTCGGATCAGGTTTGGATTAAGAATTGTATGAAATTTCGCAAATCTGATATATTTAATGTATTATATTTATCGATAAATTTGTTGCTTTGAGCTGTTTAACAGTTATAACAATTCTTTTTTCGTATGATGGTGTTAAACACTCTTTGAATTATTTTTCTGCTGATTGTTATTAAATATAAATAATGGAAATGGAGATATCGAGAAAATTTTGAAGAAATAATGTGTTTCAGAGAATTTTTATGTTTAAGACATTTTATGTTATTGTATCAATTACTGATTTATGTGATAGTATAAAAGAGTCTCTCGTCTGGTTTTGCTTATAAATTGTTGTTAACTGTACTAAACGGAAATCTAGATGTAAAGTAACTTTTAAAGCACAGATGTGTCGGAGAATTTCGGCATTACATTATTTTTATTTGATTACAACAGTTGCTTTTTCCTAAAGATATTCGATACTTAGTTATATGGAAAAATTTGGTATTGAAAATCAGCTCAGTGATCCCTGTTAACAATCAGTGCATGGCTCAATATGATCAGGGAAGGATTTTCAGACATAGATTATCACTGATTAGCTCTGGTCAGTACTTATGAGCATGGGTCTACATTGATCTCAACTGGTCAGGAAGGAAGGACCATTGTAAAAAATGACAACGCCTCGGATGATTTAAATTTCGTATTTATTCGGTATATTTCTTTATATATTAGTACATGTGACATTAATGACGCAGTAATATATTAACTGGACATGAATTCTTGTCGAGCGGTAGCTCCCTACAAGAACGTGACATCGATACTGAATATTTACAAAAATACAAAAGCTTACAAAACATCGACTACTATACAATGAACTCCTGTCTAGAATCGTTTCGCCTCTCCTCGTCCTACACACCGAGAACTAACATGAATTTCCATCAACGACTTGGCAACTGTCAACGGGCCCCTAATTAATCTAATTGTTGCTTCGTTACGTGTACGTCACTCTCTAAAATACAAAATCAGACTTGTATGTTTCGCGGGGCGTGAAACAGTTTGCGCCCCTAGGCCTTCGTGCTATGTTTCGTCGATATTATAGAAAAGAAAACGCTGTTCGCTACGAAAGTTTCTCCGTAAAAAAGTTTTTGCCGGTCTACGTGAATGAAATTCAGTCGTTGGGAACCACGCGATTCCCTGAATAGACGTTCAAATGCGCGGCACCGCGTCGTCAATTTCCCTTGGTCCAATTGTTGGCGAACTACTCTCTCGTCGAAGTTTTGCGAATGATTGCCCCCCGAATGCAGGCAAGGTTAACAAAACAATAGACAATGACTATATACAACAAATGATCGCGTGTAACCCTTACCTAACTCAAGACAGACACTTCTAACAATGTACAAATTGATGTTCGCTCATGTTCTCTCGTTCGAATCGTAATATTGTCTGAATGGATCGTGAATGTAAAATCGTTTGCACTATCGCGTCGCTAATCACTAAGACACTTCGACATTCTCTAAATTTAAAGATTACGCTTGGATAAGTGCTAGTGCGTTTCTGCGTTTCTATTAAATAAATTCTGATCGACATGGCGGTCCGTATGAAAACGGGACAAATGCTTCCAAGGAATCAATTGCGTGAAGAATACGAGATTCAATGGTAAACGTTCAGATCATTGACAAGCAATTTAGTAAAATTATTCCTTGGTGAAACGAGACTTAGCAGACAAATTGCGAGCGGAGGAGGAAGACAGCTTCAAGAATAACGAATCGAAATAATGCTACGGAATCGATGAAGAAACTCGTGGCAATGTTATACTCGTTTTTGAATCTATTTACACGCTTTGCTACTTCTTCTATGTTCTATTTCAATTCTCGACTCTCTTCTTACACGAAGAAATCAGTTTTCTCGAATGCAAGATCCTATAGTCTCTTCTCTATCACACATTGTTTCTCTAAATCGTCGCTAGAGGAAGACTCGGTCGCGCTCGAGCGACACGAGCTCGCCTGTGCAGATAGCACAGCGTTGAAATCACCGGGCAGCGGAGATTTCAATGCCGCTCCCTAGAGTCTTCCCTGTGAGCGCTGTGTCTTCGCGATTCTTGACCGCTGGGCGTCACTGGCCGGCGTTTCGATCTCTTGAATTTTGCGATGTCTTCTCCGAAAACGTCCCCGGTTCGAAGGGCGGATATTAAATCGTCAAATTCACCTTTGTTGTCGTTTTGTCCGTTGCTATTCGCCTCGTTCTTCTTGCTCAAGGAAATGCTGTTCAATATTCCCTCGCGTGAATTTTTCCTCTCCATTGTCCTCTTGCGAAGCTATGGCAGATTTTATTGGATTTAAGTTTAATTGAATATGTTTATGGTATATAATATTTATTCATAATTATACGTAAATATCTCTTTTACTGTGTGAGATTTAAATATTCGGCACTCACTTCTTGTTCCTGTTTCGCTCTACGTTCCTCTTCCTCGATCTTCTTCCTCATATTTTCTACATCCTGTCTTGCTTCAGCTAACGCTTGAAGAAAGTTTTCAAAGATTCCGAAGAATTCGTCTGGTTGGACTCCGGCTGAATCTTCACCGAATAATCTGACTGCTCGGTCAAACTATTTGAATAAATTGTATATGTTAAATTTGAGATTCTTGTTTCTTAAACGTTGTAGTTTACCTTATGATTATTTCAAAGTTGTCTGGATTCATTTTATATTTGAATATGAATATAGTACTAAATTTACAATAATATCTTACCCTGGTTTTCATATCTTGGAACAAATCCTCTGCTTCAGCCAACCTACACGTGGCCTGAGCCTGGAAATCCCTCATTGCGGGTAGGAACATGTCGCCCTGTAGAACTTGAGACTGTCCACGGTGGAATTCTGTTGAAGAATAAAGACAATTTCTTATATTCTGTTTAAATATGTCTCATATTAAAAATAAATAATACATAAATCTGCAATATATCCATCTGTTTCTACTCCACTTCTCAGCACGAAAGTGTTCTAGATTTAAACTGCATTAAAGCAATAAACTGGAATGTTTACTTTTACCGAACAGTATAAAACTTTCTATTTTCTAGTATTATTCAATTAGTATAATATCTTAAGGTTACAAGTTCCTGTGAATATTTGCAATAAGTGTTCTATATATTTACTGACAGTAAGCCAACCGATTTATCCAAAGAAATTGTATGAATTTAACTTACCTATTTCTCTTTGAACATCCTGAAGACCATTCTTCAAGTTAGCCACTTCCTTCTGCAGGTCAGCCATGCTGACTCTCGCCGCAGTCCGAACATGTGGCATGTCTTCCTCGATGTCCAGCACCTCTCTAAACCTGGACTCCAATATCTGGACCAAGTAGTGCAACAATGTGGTGCCTTTCGAGCAAGAGGACTTCGTGTCGACTAGACGGTTCAAAGAGGCCAGGCGAAAGCCGCAGGCGTTGCCTCGAGCGTTTCCGCGGTTTACATAATTCCCTAGAGCTAACACCAATTCCAGCAGCTTCCTTAGTCGCCGCGATCTCGCGACCTGTCGACTAGCTTCGAGAACCGCACGCATTCTCGGCGTCAATTCCGCGATGCTGGCTGCGAATTTCTTTTTGTAGTGAAGGGATCGCAACCTTTGTTCGTAATGCGGTACTCTGAAATAATGTAGCAAACATTTATATATATACAATGTAAGGAATTATATAATCTTCATAAAAACTTATATTCCAGGAACGTTTGAAAGGTTTTCCCAAGTACAATCTGTGCTCTTCAATGAAGGGAAAATTAGTTAATAATATTTTGACACAATTCCATTACAGCTATTAAAGAATAAACTTAATGATTCCTTATGATTCAATTTAAATCAATAAACAGCAATGTGCAAAAAACAAATGTTTTCGCATATATGAAATATTAAACAGATCTGCATGGACTTTCTGCAAATACAGATTATCCGAGTTACTTAGATACCAATAGTAGATAGGTAAGACATTCTCGATGCGCTATCAGCTAAAACTAACGTTTGCAGAACGTCGACAAAAATCTGTTCGACATGATTATCTCAAGACGGAAATTGAGGGCGCTAATACAATGTTTGGAGAAGATAAAAAAATAGCACTAGGAATCTTGTCAGCTGAGTTATCTAGAATAGCAACGTACTTAGATATTTGGTACAAGAAACAATCGGCCCTGTTCTGCAAGTCCTTTTGGTGGATATCCAAAAGAGCCGCCTCCTCTGACGAAGGAATATACTTCAACAGCTGCTCGACCATGTCTATATGCAAAATATTCTGCTGATCCATAGACAGAATCGTTCTCGTAATCTCATTATCGGACATCTTTAACTTCGATAACAGTATAGTGCAATTCTGAGCTCTTCTCGAATCGATCACCGACATAGTCTTCTTATTCTTTCCTAAAGTCCTTAGATCTTCGATCGAGCCCTCGGTCGATACACCATTTTTTTGATAAGCGCAGAAAATCTTGTCAATCGATTCTAGGTCCATAACATTGTACAGCTTCGTGTCGTCGAGTTCTGACCATATCGTGCCTTGCAACTTCTGCTCAGGGATCTTCGACCAGTTGAACGACTTTAGGGGATTGCTTGGCTGAGGAACGTTTTTGATAATCTCCACCTGCGTGAATTTAATAATTTCTTCATTAATATACTTTTGAAGTCTTTGATAATTTCATAGTTTTCTCACGTGTACTGACTTTTAGATGATCATATATTTTAAAAACATAATGAAACTGCAGTACACACAATTCATAATGCAAGCATATTATTATTTTATTCTATAGAAGGGTACATAATTTATCCAGTTTTCATTTTTGCCAATTAAAATTCATTTCCAGTATCAAAATTATATAAAAAAACTCGTACTTTCATAGGAGGAGGCGCAGTAGGCATTAAACAAGGAGGCGGCGGTGGAGCCAAAGGCGGAGGCGGGGGCGGTGGCGGCATAGGTTTCGCCTCAACCTTCTCGAGGACTTCATCCTCGACGAGTTTAATCGACGCTTTCGCGTCGTCCGGCAAACTCCCGGAAGCCACCAATTGTTCCAGCCGCTTTCTCTCGGATTTCTCGTTGTTTATCTGCCGCGACAGCGCCTCCACGTTATCTTGCAACTCAGAGATTCTCTGTTTCGTCTCGATGTGCATCGAGGTCTCCTTTTCTAGACGTTCCTTGACCCTCGCCAGACTCGCTTCCATGTCTTCCTAAAATGTCATTTCAAACACGACGTACTTATTAAAATTGAATTAAAAACAATTCACCTAATCGTAGAATAATATTAGGTTGTGTCCTTAAAGATTTCCGGGATATTTTGCGAAATTTACTGCAATCGACACTAAATTACAGTTAACATTAATGATCTGTGTCCTAGATAAAACTGAAAAAAAAGGTTCCTATCTAGTGGAACGCACTTTTAACGTTACATACTTATCGATTGACTTTTATCACGATATTTTCCGATATTACGAAATTCCATGTTTATTATGTAAGATAAATAGCGTCGATCTTATTATGCAGTCCATTTTCACTATCACGGAAGTTACGCACCGCCCAACCCAGCGAATAAAAAAAAGGCGGAGTCGCGAATAAGCGAGTATCGATTTATCGAGCCGTTTCGAATTACTTTCTCTTGCGTCCTCAAGTCCAGCTCTTGTTCCTTCTTGGCCAATCTCGTCGACATGTCCGAGTTCTCCCGTTCCAGCTCTTCGGCCTTTTTCCTGGCGGCGACAAGTTCCTCTTCCTTAGCGAGCAAATGGACGATTTCCTTCACGTTGATCTCGATAGGCGCGACGTCGGGGTTCCTTATAGTACCGGTCTCGTTTCCTTCTGACTGAAGGACTATTTGTTGCACGATCCGATCGAAAAGGAGCCAGTGCTGGGGATGGGAGCCGTAATCGACTGTAAAGCAAAGGAGGAATACATAAAAAATACTTCTCTTCATCGTATGATTGTATTTTACATCTATTATCTTTTAAATCCAACTTATTACTTTTAAATAGTTTTTGTCTCGTTAATCTGATTAAATCGTTCCAAAATAACAATTTCCCTTATATCATTTATAGCGATGTTAGAATTTTAATTTAACACCTATAAATATTAATAGAATATTTAATATCTATAAATATTAATAGAATATTTAATATCTATAAATGTTAATAGAATATTTAATATCTATAAATATTAATAGAATATTTAATATCTATAATGATTATCATTTAATATCAACATAATATCTAACATTCAGAAATCGTTTAAAAAAATACCGAAAACTCACGTGGCAACAGAAGACAATGCTCCAGCAGACTCAACAAATGAGGATAAGCAGCAGTGTGACTGAGCTTCCTTCTCAATAAATCAAACATCGCGGTCGCGCTCTTCGTGTCCACGTGCTCCTTCTCAAACTTCCTCGCCAATTCTTTCTCGTCCTCGTTCCTAACCATGTCGAAGAAATCTAAATGCCTGTCCAGCGTCTCATTCTCGTACTTCCGAAGTTTCTCGATAATAGGCTGTATACCGAGCATCAGCAGCTCGTATCTGAGATGCAACCTGAACTCAAGCGTGACCTGGCCAGGCCCGTAATTCAAAACAGCGTTGATGAACGACATGATCGCAGTCTTCAGTGACAAATTGTCCTTGTAGATCCCGAAGTTCTTGTCCAGGTCGTTGATAATACTTTGAAAACGTGTTCGTTCGGAATGATACTGCTGAAAATGCAACATCGCCTCGAGGACCTTTCGATGGCCGCCCGGGACCAAGCAGACCGCTCCGAGAATCTCCAACACGGAGATTTTCGTTTTGATATTCTCAGTCGCCAGCGACTGGGATATCGTGTTGATGGCGGTCGGGTGCGCAAGAACGTGTGCCCTTCCGTTCTGTAAAAATTCATTTCATCGTTCCTGAAGACGGCCTGTGCAGGAAGACGTTAGCAACAAACGATTCGAGACGATGCTTGCTCACCGAGTTGTTCATCAACGCCTTTAAACAGCCTATCACGCTAGTGTGCAGGTTACTGTTCGCCGCTCCCGCGTCCATGATGCCGAGGACTTGCAGCAGAGCATTCAACCCATCGAGTTCTATGAACCTGAGGACGAAACTGTGCGGCTGTGTCCTCAGGGCGGTCTTTAAGGCCTCCACCTGGCGCATTTGGTTCGACACCTCTTCGCTTTCTTCGGGGAACGGGCTCTGAAATGTATTATACACGTGAATCAAAAATTATAACTGAACTGGATGTTTATGTATTGCCTGGGAAATTTAAAAATGTACAATTGAATATTCAAAGTATTGTACCGCCCATGATACTTTTTGGAAACAACTATTTTCCATTATAATTCTGTTTTTGTGATTGTGTTCTTAAATATTTGAATTTGTGTAAAGATCCGGAGTCTAATTGATGCAGTAGAACTTTAATTATCTGATTGGATTGGACGATTAATAGTACAAGTAAATGGAGGTTTGAGAAGAAATTTTTGAAAATACATTTGTATAAATCATTTGTAATCTAAGAATTCAAATTATGAATTATTAATTATTAAGCTCTAGTTTCACGAAGATTCTGGACAATCAGATCGCAGAAAATACCGAATTGGTTAATCGATGTACTACTGAACATTGGATAAATAGTATTATGTTATACTTTGTAATAATATAGTAATAGATATGATGACTAATATCGTAAGTATTATGATTAAATCAAGAGCTACTGCAAAACATAGTTCAAAAAATAGGACTTAAATGAAATTAAAACGAAATACACAAAAAATCTACCATGAAAACCCGGCGACATGTATACTGGAAACGTATGTCTTACAATATGCATTAAAAAGATGAGAATCTGCACGAGTATATACATTGAAGATTACATGCTCCGAGGAAGAGATATAAAATAGAGAATTATGAGCTTAGCTGGAAGCATTACGACGAGGATTAAGGGTAATCAAATATTGATTGCCTTTTCGTTTATTTCATACGATACGGTTATGTCGCCTTTGGACGTAAATCTTGAGTAATTAATAAATTAACATCAACTAACTATCCGCAATATAAATTCTATACCTAAACACTGAATCTCCACTTTGTAACATTGATTTACAAGCAGATAACATAAATAATATTATCCCGGTTTAAACACTATTATACATCAGAAGTTTTTCAATTAACGAGATTGACTCTTCACAAAGATTTCAAACAGACATCACCAAATGTAAATATTATTCTATTATTTTGAATTTCAAATATAATTTTCCTGTTGCCAATTATTAATTCTTTTAAGAATATAAATATGAATATAGAACTAGCATGGAGTTTTTCTTTCACCCTAGCAAATTATTAAAAATAAAATAAATCTAACTGTAAGAATTCATAGGTCAAGTGGTTAAAGAACATGCACGGCATACTCACACTCGCTACGGTCCTCAGCCTATTAATATAATCCTCAGGATCACCGCTAAGATCGGTAGTCCTCAGACCACCGTTCTCCAGAGTCCCGTTGCCTTTTCTGGAACAGTATATCTGCCACTTTTTGTTCGCCGAAAGCGCCAGAACCGCCTGCCGGTTGGCCTGGGTCAGGTCCAGCTCGTCGACCAATTCGAGGAACATCTTGTTCAGCTCCTCTTCGGCGGGCATCGGTAGAGTTGGCGTCATCGCTTGAAGCGTGAGCGTGCCCGTGTGCTCCACAACGCAATACGTGATTTCCGGCGGCTCGTCATCCTGTGCGCAAAAAGAAAACGCACAGGATTAACCCTAGAACTACTCCCAAGCCTCGAGCAGTTAAGCATTATAGAATATAACACATAACATCAATATTTAATTACTAATATGTAACTAGAGTGTTACAAACCTGTACAAAATTTATATAAAGTTTTACCATTATTTGTTTGTAATATATTATATAATATAATGCGTTAAATAAATACCGGATCTATATATTATTTTATATTATTATATATTTATATAATAAATCCATATTCCATCTTTAGATCATAAATAAGTTATTTCGAGAATTGTTTCACAGAATAAAAATAATCTTAGTTTAATGTTTTACGATTTGTGGGTTCCGAGAGCCTCCCCGTAGGTGCTCTGCGTTTAACTTTTCAGGATCGCAGCTGGTTACTACCCTTAATTCTTCTACACTCGCCTGACCATCACGGTGGTCGGTTTTTGCTGGATACCCTCGTACACCGTGATGATGGCGGTAGTGCATGATGATAGGAGAAGCAACGAACCGCTGATGTAGGCCGAGGAAAACGTAATTCGGGTCATTTGTTACTGCGTAGCTCGGAGCTGTTTAGAAGAAATGATTCCACGCGAAGGAATAATTAAATTTTCGAAAAATCCAGACTGTTCTTCAACTCTTTGACTGCTATGCTAAATGTATGTACATAGTTAACAAGAGTTTCTTCCTTGACTTACAAATGAATTTTCTCGGCAGAACGTTGAATACGATAACATATTTATGGACTGATTTGTGGACCCGATTTGTAGAATGAAAATGAACGATTGTGTATGAAATATTCTTCATAAAACCAGCTGTCCATAATTTTAATCCACATTCAATAAGTACGACTTTCTTTTCATTTTTAAAATACTCATAACTCGTTTATTATCATTCTGGTATTACGTTTGTTTAATATTTAAATTCCGCGTGCAGCATGTTCACAAGTTAAACGTCGGAAAAAAATTCTTTAACCCATTGCCTTGCAATCATGTGTGAAGCCCGCCGTGAAGATTTTAAATAGAATATAGCAAACATAGATATTTTTCTATTCCTTTGAACTTAAATGAAATATTATGGAATACGGCCAGAATTGTTCTGTATTTTTCAATGCATTATTAATGATAAAGTAGTTGCGTCGATCACAGTTGAAAAATAAATCATAGGACAAGGGGTTAAAAAATTTCTGGAGCCAAATTTTGTTGCTTGTTTTATCTAGTAAATTAGTAAGCATGAATTATTTCTATTTATTTTTCCATAATTTATTTACTTATGTAACAGTTCCTAGAAACCGCCATGCCAATTAACGTGTTAAGCTATAGACGGATAATAGGGTCAACAGTTGAAATATAAAAGTGACTTCCAAGTTCTGAACCGTGCATTTGCGGTAAGAATATGCATGCAGATCGAAGAATCGTTTGTCCAGTGCAACGGCTTTCCGTGAAAACCGATTGGGAACGAAGACGATCGAGGGTATGTAACCAGGTCTTGACCTTATTGAAGACGAGCCTCGGCATTAAATCGCGGAGTCGGCCAGTCGTTGAGTTCCTGCCGGTCGGTTGAACCAACTTTACATGCGTACAGCGCGCGAAATCGATGCTCACGTAGCGCTGCGTTCGCTATACGTAATACACGTACGAAATATCCTACTTCGAAAGTTTCTCGTATGAAAGTTACACCAGGAATAAAACACTTTATCCCCGGGTATATGCCTATAATGAATCGTTGAAGTTTCCTTCGCATATCGACCCAATACCACATAACGATACACGGGTTAACCTTTATTTGCGTGACTAATTTGAAAGTCACTCGACTAAATATAAAATCTAATTATTATACTCGAATACAAATATCGCATTTCATATTACGAAAGATCGAGGAGAAGTTGTGAAGTAGTTACGTGCAGTAAAGAGTTTAATGATCTGTAGCTAAAAAACGAAGGAATAGAAGAACAAGGTATATACACACTTTCTACAGGAAAATATAGTACGTTTGAGGACAAAGCTGTTACTTATACTACAAAATATATACCACGAAGCTTCAAAAGAATTATCACAAAAATCAATTAAACAAGAAAGCACAAACTTTCTACGAAAAAATATTGTACGTCGAAAATAAAGCTGTTACTTATAATTCAAAATAAAAAAAAGGTTAACCCAAGAGACGAAGGTTAAGAGCCCATCATCAAAACAAAGTAGCATCCCCCGAATCTATTAAGTTACATTGAAATTACAGTAATGCCTATGGCTCGTCCCGCATCCGAGATTCACGGGAGAACCATTAAGATCGCGTGCTGTACCATTCTCGTGGCTCTCTCGGCCGAGTCAGCCGAGAACCAACGGCAGCAAAGGTCAGGGGACCGGCTCGGGCACTGAATTCCAAAGGTACTTTCACACGTGACTAGAAAATTACCTATTCGCGTACCGGCCGGCAGATTTATACTTCGCAAACATCATCCTACGCCTCCGTGAGTGTACGGCACCTGAAGTATTTATTGTCCGCGACGGAACCGGGACTCGCGTGGTGCATCGTGGTTGCCCGTTGTCGATACCGTTCGTCTTTTATCACGGAACGATACCGGGAACTGTGTCGAAGATATCGATAACACTGCACGTAATCGTTCGTAGACGGACCCTCGTGACGGGAGATACTTCAAGATGATGTGTTGCAGGAATTTCCGTGTGGTGATCATCGTGCATTGACTTAACAGTATCTCGTTGAGGATCATTTACAGATATTCAGACTCACTTCGCGAACGATCAGATGGGGTTAAGGAGATATGAAGATTCAAGTAATTTTAAATTGAATGTGACCAGCCGACTGAAGAGTGTTTTTCTAGTTTTCTATGCAACGTTTCTGAATCAACCGTTTGCGTGATAAACGAGAGGACTTAATATTAAAAAATGCCAATTGGTTGGTAGAGACGAATTGAGTTCATTCGTTTCTTTCATTCTCTATTCCCGCGTAGAAATAAAAAACCTCGCGATGTCACTGTATAGAAATTTTAACGAGAAATTAGGAAAGTATAATCTCGTTTCCCGTCATTTATGATGCTGAAACCAAAGCACAACTGCTTGACATATCTCAATAAAATTTTTGCAAAAATCTGTACCATTGAACTGGTTAAGTAAACATAATATTTACAACTCAAATGTGGAATACATAGTCTAAAAACAGAGATATAATAAACCAATATCTATTTTAACACTCCCATAAAAGAAACACACGAACATTCATTGGTCAACGCAACACCGAGGGAAACACCGCTTAATTAGCAAAATGTGCCAATTCGCCTCGCGCATAATTACAAACTAACCTTGCATTATCACCACAGCCAACATAACGAGGGAGCCCACCTGACATTTGCGTGCGTGGAAAAACTGAATTCCAGTTTCGTGCTCGACCTCCGGTGCCCGGCAGCCTCGGGAGCGTCAAATGTTCGCCGGGGTTGAAGCCGCACGTGAACGCGAAACGGGTGGCGACGCGATAAACCGTGACACGCGACACGGCCGGTCGATACATGCGTGCACGTGAGCGCCAACGGGGGAAAAAATGGCGAATGAGGTCAGCCGGTTGGAAGAGGCCGGAACGCTCTCGACCGTTTTGCACGCGGCCGGTCCACGCGTTCCTCGGAGGACGAAAGTTTATTCGGCGTGACAAACGGCTCGCATACATAATCACGTATAGATCCCGCGCATAATGAAGGCTCTAGGACATCGACTCGCGAGCTGCAGCTTTTTAACCCTCTGCCCACAATGTCATGCTAAAAAGAATTGTTCGTATACCTATGTAGGATGTCTAACACTTGAATAGAAGTACTAGAGAAATCAGATTGACACGTTTCAGATTTCTTCTTTTACGAATATTAACACCAGATCTACCACGCTTGTCGAATTGACATGTTCCAGATTTTTCATTTTGCAATTGTCGATATCTTGGAAGTATTAAATATCGTAAATGATTTTAGAAATAAATAGTTTGACTGGAATATTATAATGAATATATGAAGAAATCGAAGATAATCAATTGCCACTGTTTAAATTTACATTAAATCGTATTAAATGCTTGGTAGTTCTAGTGTTAAGAAGGTACAGTAAATTAATTTACTAAAGAGCACTTTGAAATGTAAGCCAATCGAAATTTCAATCAATGCACTGTTGTAATTTGTATTGGGAAGTATGAATCAGTGGTCGATAGCTGTAGTGTTAGAAACGATCTACTCGATATACCTGACATGAAATTAGTTCATTTGTTTCTTATTTTGTTGAAATGGATTTGTAACTCCGAGGTCACATTGGGCAGTGGAAGGTTAATATTTTTGTAAGCTATGATTAATGTATAATGTTACACGGAGTCTTTTATACGCAAAAGATTATGCATCACTGATCCAACAGGACAATGCTGGGCAGGACTTCTTTAGTTTGGTCGAAGATTCATGCGCTACGTTTACACTTGATGAGATTTATGAGAAGCTCTTCGGGTGGGAACGGGCCCAGGAAATACGATGTTTCGCGAGACCCTGTTATTAGGCTGTTTACAATCCCGAATGGCTCTACTAATGATCGCCTCGCTCTACTCCGCGGGGACCTGACAAGTTTATAGAATCCGTCTAATGAACGTATTATGTGTGAGTCGCACGCCGTAAAGGCTGGTTCAAGCCACGCGACAATCGTCTATAGCGATTATTATCATCACTAAAGTGCATTGTATTCTTTACAACGTTGGATATCGGATATCGAAACCGATATGTTGGACTTCGGTTAATAATAAAGGATATTTCCATGGTGTCTATGTAGATACATGGATTGTAACAATAAGTTAGAGGCAAACGTTAATTGATAGAATTGTATGTTCCGACGTCGAGTAGCCGTGAATTGTGACGTATTGTCGATGTGGTTTTAATTTTGACACAGTTTTATGGAACGATTATCAATGTATCTAACTGGTTTATGAACGGAACATGAAGGTTAACTGCTGGACACGCATTTCTAGGGTG